CCATCTCAGTCAGAAAAAAAAAACAGGTACCGGTAAATGAAAAAATGCTTCCAGAACTTAGTCAGCCTGAAACGTACGATGAACTATTACCAAAGCTTTCACCAGCAATGTGTAAAATGTGTCAGTCTCATATAGTCCAGGAAAAAGAATCAAAATCAAATGAATGGTTTTCATCATTGCAATACTTGCATTGTGATATAAATGATCTATTGATCACTAATTCCTTTTTAGATAGTGCAAGTGAATTTGGAGGAGTGAATGATGCAACAATTAATGCCCTGGGGTGGAAAGCTGATAAGCCTTCTGACTTTCCTATAAAGGGCAATTCCAAACATATAACTGAATCATTAGAATGGTATACAGATGTGCCAATTAGTGTAAAGGACAAAGATAATAAGATTGTTATATCTACTAGAAATTTTGCTCGTATTAATAATGGTGAACCTGAACCAATATTATGTTTAGGTATGACATGGATTCGAAAGGTTCATGGTGTTCTTGACCCTAGTAAAAACCAATTTCAAATGAAGTTACATGGGAAGACTTACACTATCCCAACTTTTAGTAAGCCTCCAGGGGTTAGTGAACTAGAGCAATGAACATCAGATATGCATGATGGTGAAGACTTAAAAAAAAATATGACGCACTTGAAAAGCAACTTATAAAGACTGAAGAATGGCTTGATATGGCTTTAAACATAATAGATTCTGGCAAACAAATCGATTTCTTTCTCAGATTAGAATTCAATTCCAAGATTCAAATCATATCAGGTATGAAAAATCTAGAAAATAAAGCAACTATTAAAAAAGAATTTATTAGAGCTCTTGATTACGCAGAATATCTTAAAAAGGAATTAATACGATTTCAAGATTCAGCTTGAAGCTGTTTTTTATATTCTCGTAAATTTTTCATTCTAGCTTGCACATCACTCCCTGGTATTGATGAGATAGAATGATTTATAGGTTTTGATTCTGATCGATCTTTATCTTTAGATAATTCCACACCAGAGTTTGTCTTATCAATATTAGAACTAGGAAGTTCCTCATTCTGTGAGACTTTCTTTTTTCTGCTAGTCTTTTTTGTTACTGGTTTGCTCAAAGAAATCACTTGCTCAGGATTTCTAGCACTTGATAAGCTATGTATGGGCAAGATTTCTAATTGAGGTATTGAGATAGATGAATTTATAGATGTTATTTCTATTTCAGGTGGTTGAGGATAGATCCGGCCATTTACAATATCATCATATCTTTCACTACCAATTTTATAAATAGCACACATAATGCATTTTCTATTTGGTATCTGTTTTGCATGAGCATCCCTTATTTTTTCGATTGCTTCAGAAGTTAATGGAGTAGCAGTGGGGTTAAGATATTGTCGAACTCGAGATCTAACTTTGGTTTTAACCATTTTAGAAAAATATATAATGATATTAAAAAAATATCGAATTAAATCTAGGAAAATATCCATTTATTTCTAGTATATAATTGGATAAAAACTGAGTAATAATCGGACAATAATCAGACAGAAACCGAGAAATAGTTAGTACTGACTTGATTATAGATCTATTTTCATATAAAACTGGTTAATTATTATTTTATGCCTAGCTAATTACTAACTTCGGTCTAATTATTGCCTGATTAAATACCAATTATTATCTGGGTTTCTTTTTATTCATAATCAGTAAAAAGTCAAATTGCAATTAGTTTTTTTTCTTTGAACATAATTCTCTTCAATTATATGGCACCAATACGTACTTTGTATAGTGAATCTACTGATGCCAAAAATTTTCAAGGACATGGATATAAATTAGATAGTAGAGAACGTGAACTTGAATCTCAATGCAATGAGTTGCTTCTTGAAACTGAATTTTTCGCTAATAAATGTTCTGAATTTAGAAATGCTAAAGCTCTTGCAGAAGCGCGATCTGATGTGATTACTAAAGAGCTAGAGAAAAAAAATGACAAGATTTTACATCTCCAGAAAAAATTAAATCGGTACATTAATGACAAAAATCAAAATGACTTGATTAAAAAACAACTCAAAGAAGAAATTAAAGAGTTGAAAAGCAAAAATACCAACTTTACTGAGTATAAAGCCAAGCATTTTAGTAAACTGGAAGAAGCGAATTCATTCCAATCTAGAATCGAGTTATTGGAAGAAGAATTATCTTTAACTCAGAAATACTCATCAAAAAAAGATTCTGAGATAATGTCCCTCAAAGCTGAATTGGTGAATATATAGAGTGAATTAGATTCAAAGGTCAGTGAGCTTGAGCATCTAAAACCAGAGAATATTTCGGTACCTATGGTTGGTGGAGATAGCGAAAAAAATATGTCAAAGTCTAATAATATCTCTACAGTTAGTGAACCTAGCAAAAATCTTAATCAATATTTTGTACGCAGAAAAATTATGAACGAAGTCAAAAAAATTAGCACTGATATACCAACTTATACCAATGATAAAATTGTTCCAATATTAGAATCTTCAAAAATCGATACTGAAGTTATTTCTAAGATAAGTGATGAAACTATTATTAACAAAAATAGTGAGGATAGATCCAAAGGGTCATTGCTTCACAATAATAAAGATAATATATTACAACCTATTGATACAGGAAACCAATTTCAAGAGATAAAGAATGCGACTCGATTAAATCTCATAATATTACAATGGGAAGGAGTGGGAATTACCTATTATAGCATTAGGTGCTGGTGAAGCTTTGGTTAATTATAAGTATCAGATTCCCCCTATTGTTAAGCTTGTTGTTCTTGTTATAATAACGATACTAATTATTTGGTATATATACAGAAATATTTTTCATCCAACCAAAAAGAAAGAAAATTTTTATCTAGTATATAGAAAACAAAGTTATGGATTCCCAATCCGTCATGCAGAAAAACTCAAAGACAGGATTACCTCCAATGAAACTTTTCCTTATGGATATGGATGAAGCTAATAAACATGTTGCATCTCGTTGTCAATCTCATCCAGCTAGTCCAACATGGCCCTTTAGAATGATAGTTAC